TTACCACAGATAAGCAAATAGAGTTCAGATCAAGGATTCGCCAAAATAGTGCCTTTCTCTGCTTATCAGCTACCATACTATTGCATTGCGCCAAAATGCTCCAATCTGACTTATTGATATGTCATGCAGTCAAAATGCAGTTGAATTCATATTTTCATATTCTTCTCGACTACTTGCTTTCATGATGCTTTGAGTAAAATAATAACGCAGAAAAAGTTCGATGTTGTTCCTTTTACATTTCCGTAGACTTTCATACTTCATCATAAAGAAATGACGACATATTTAACTTCATGTACTCGCATTGTTCGCCAGCGTAAAATTCACCACATTCACATTGTGCCTGATCTCGTCATCGCACAACTTAGCCTAAAGCTCTTCAAATTGCTTTTCTCGAAAAATCAAAATGCTACTTAAGCGAACAAAAAACGGAAAACTTGAAACTTTGTAAAACAGGATTGGTTATGCCCGATTACGGATATCACAAGATACATCACAGGATATGTTACCTTGTCCACCTTCGAAATGCATCTGCCATTTGGGCCACATTGCAGCCCCGTAAGCTCACAGAGGTCGGTAGATTTCCAGCAAGTGAAGCCCTGAACCAAAATTCCAAAATTTTGGTGCACATGCACACACAAATGGTACTTACAGTCCATCCAGGCTTGCAATCGCACGTAAAACTTTCTTCCACTTCCACGCAGGATTGCGTACCTGGTTCATAACATGTCTTACATGTAGGTTGCATCCGTTGATATAATGGTGGTGTTTCAATCTCTTCAACCTTTTTCTCAACGTCTAAAACATGCATTTTGATATTTCATAAATCATTCTGCTTTGATTTTCTATCTTGAGTACATTTGAGGTCTGTTGGATATGGGTGTAATGTTCCCTTCTTAGTGCACGATAACTCGACCTTGACGTTCTTTTGGTGCGCACACGGAATACTGTAAAACAGTCAGTTAGACAAATTGGCGTATATTTTTGCATAGCGAGCTTGCATAGCACACACACACACACACACACACACACACACACACACACACACACACACACACACACACACACACACACACACACACACACACACACACACACACACACACACACACACACACACACACACACACACACACACACACACACACACACACACACACACACACACACACACACACACACACACACACACACACACACACACACACACACACACACACACACACACACACACACACACACACACACACACACACACACACACACACACACACACACACACACACACACACACACACACACACACACACACACACAGTCACGTAAACACCCTTAGCCCGTTATTATAAGTTATGATGGTTGTCCCCATCAGCCTTGTGTACTTCAACTTTATGCGGGTGCTAGAACTCAACTTGTCTTTCAAGTTGTCTATTCCTTTTCTTCTGAGCCGAACGACCAATCTCGCACGATACTGGATGTCGCAAACGGCTTCATTTTTGCTTAAAACCTCATAATTCTTCGAAATTTACTACCTTAATTTCACGCGTATAAGGCGCAGGGGATTTTTTTTCAGAATCGACCAGCTCAGACAAACCATTGGGCTTTACAACCAAAGGACCCTATAACGCGCTGTATATTGCTTGTGAGAATCGTGTGATGTAAAAATTTCTTTCCGGAATACGGTGAAGCGGCTGAGCGGCTCGCTTGAAAATTCGAAAAAGTGCGCCCTGTACGCGTGAAATTAGGGTACTTTTTTTAAAAATATTTGTAACTTTAGCATGCATTGAGACCTACAGAGAGCCAAATTTGAGTGCAGCAGGTTCAAAAAGAGTTAGGAGTTAAGTTATAGAAGCAGTTGCAAAACTTAGTTTCCAACCTAACACAATTCACTTTGATCAGGCATATTGCGATGAAGCACTTACTTTGGTGTGTAGTGCCTCGTAAAGTTTAACAACTCTTCTAAGAATCAACGCTTTTTTGTATTTCTATTCATGGTACTGCCTGATTCTTCTGTCTGCGTCTCAAGTTCTTGAATCGAAAACCTCTGATTTTCTTAGGTTTTCTTTTGGAAAGGAAAGGACATTATCTAAGCGTATGTTTTTCTTTTTCTGGTATTGAAGGTTTATCAAAGGTTCGTAATAATACGACTACCTCTGTCTTGAAAGTTTTCGAACTTTTTAGAAAAAATTGATAAAGCCGTCGGTCCCACTTGAAAGAGCAGACAACAGCAGTGTGCCTAGCAGAAAAATGAAATTTGGTTATCTTACCAAGGGAAAGACTCCAAATCGCAGCGGCGATCTGGAACGAAATGCATATCTGGATGCGTCTTGTTGAGCCGAGTTTAAATCTGTCCTCCCTGTCTGCTGCGGAGTTTTCTGGAAAGGGTTAGGCCAATGCTTCATGTATGGCAAATGTTCCGTGGCATTCTTTTGAGAATAGTTGTTCAAACGCACCCCTTATGTGCTGGTCAATGTATGCATTGCTTGTAGTCAGTTAGTACGCAATACTATTTACTCATATAATCGCAGGGGGCAGGCGGCCATGCGATTTATGGGCGGGTGGGCACCAGAAATATAGTTCGCTGATTTCTTGCGGTCCGCTTGCAGATATTTGGAAGAATTAGCGAAATTTCAGACGAATGCTTGAAGAAAAATCGCGGTTCCTTATAGATTAGCTGCGGCCGCTGCGCCGCAGCTAATCTATAAGGAACCGCGATTTTTCTCCAAGCATTATGCAATTTTTCGAGGGCCGCACGGTCCTTGGTGGAGGACCACGCAGCCCCCAGGTACATTCGCTGAGAAAAAGTACCTCAAACTTGAGTAATTAAAGCATCGATGACACCTCTGCCATGTAGAGTCTCATCTTTGCTCGGCGTACGCCCGAAACTGCTTAAAAAGAGTCCGAGCGCCTGCTGAAAGTTTGGCCGGCGCTTGCTGAAAGAAATTATTTGACGAGCGCCTGCAGAAAATTCTGTGTTGCTGCCCGCTGGCGAACATCAGACAGTAAAGGAAGTACGCTTGCTGAAGGCTTGGCCGCGCTTCAGAATTCCGCTGACCGCTTGCAGAAAGGCGCGAGTTTGCAGACCGCCTGCCCCCGGCGATTATCTGAGTATGCACATCCAAACTGATTCATGCACATCATGCATTGACAGCCTGATGACACTTTTACACTCTTGAATTCTTCCAAAGATTCCCGCAGCAGTTAAGAACGGTGGATTTGGAATCAGCTCATCAGCACGCATTTGAATATAAGCTTTTCATTCCACTTGTCCACTGCGATTGGACCCTTCCTTTGTTGGGTAATTTTGCGTGCTAAACGCATTTTTCGTAATCAAACAAAACCTCGAACAAAGCATTTATTTTCGCTCAGCCCGCAACATTTGGCATACTGAAACTCTTATGTAAACCTGCAGTCTCAGGAGCTAAAATATCCTCACCAAGCCTAGCAAGTTAACTCTGTAAAACTTGAATTTGGCCCGTAATAACTCTTAAGGCCGAATGTAGAAGCTCCCCCCACCCCCTCACCCTCTTCGCTCGTAATGCGCGTTCGAGCGTCTTTCATTATCCGCGCTCGTACGCGCGCGCACGCAACTGCTTTTTCACGACTTCAAAAAAGGTTTGATTTAATAATGTTTGGCAGCAAAAAAAATCGGTAATTATCCGTTGTCCGGACTCATTTTTTCAAAAATTTGTCGTATGATACGCTTTCTAATCCAAAAGTAACTTTTTATACTACGAGCCTCCTGACTACTTGTTACAAAAAAATTGACACGTTGTCCATTTTGACATGTTTCGAAATTAATTACGGTGAGGTAAATAAAAATTTGTGATCACTTTAAAGGTGTTAATTTGTTTTCTATAACATTAGCACAATTTTGATTATTCTAAAACATCTTGACTGTTTTCAGCAATGATTTAAAAAAGTTCTCTTCAAACCCTTTTCGCTATGCAAATTTAGCCGAAAAAGCTATAAATGATAACATGAAGTACTGCTGCTGCTTATTTCGTCTCTCAAATGACGGAATCACTAGAGCACTTTTCTTTTTTGTGCAAACAATCCTTTCATCGACAATAGTATGCCGCTATTGTTATGACAATGTTCGCTTTGAGGGTGTTTGATCGAAATGAAATTAAATCTGATCGAAAACAGAATAAACTTACTTCGTTAAGTAGGGTAACACAAACTCTTGGTTAAACCTGTTGAGTATGTGGATGACATGTCAAATTTTTTTGACACGTGGCGGAAGGTTGGCATTCTCTCCTGTGAATGTGGAACCTTATATGTTACAAGAATGGAAGCAATTCCTTCTTGAAAAATGGGTCCGGAAAACGAAAAAGTACCAAAAAATCTAACTACACATCGTAACTACATTCAAGAAATTCTAGAAAAACTCTATAGTCCGCATTCATGCCTGGATCAAACAATCACGTGTTGCTGTAATTCTTCAGTGTCTGAAGATTGCGAAGATGGGAACAAGCATGCTCTTGGTTTCAGGCTTAACGAGGTCGCGATTCAAATTCATGACCAAAATTTATTTTGCATTGCAAGAGTTGCTATGAGTTTCTGCAAATTTGGGAAATGCCAAAAATGTTCCGAATGTGTGACTAAAGCTGGGAAGTAAGAAAAAAAAACTAACACTCCCACATACTCAAAAATTTCCGAGTTCCTACTCTTGCCTGTGTATTATAAGCATGCTGTAAGCAGCTCTGCATGCCTTTCATAATGAAAATCACTTTCAGTTTTTGCGAAGTGTTCCTAAAGCAGTCTTTCGTGCGCTACTTTGTTCATAAAGTGATATGAAGGAAAAGTGTGCTAACTTGTCTTTATAATTCCTTGTGCTCTTTGTTTGGAGAAATTGACTGACTTTTTCAATTCTAGATACTCAAAAATCAAAGTTACAATGTAATAATTGTGTCAATCATTCCTATCGAACAAGTAAAATACGATTTGTCTCACAATTAGCTGGAGTTTTTGAGTATCATTTTCAGCAATGGGATTGCGACATGGAAGAAGTCTTGGTCAATGAGACTCCTTACCTTTGCAGTCGCGTTCACAAAGATTTTTACTGGTTTCACTCCCAACCAAAGTGAGCTTGGCTTTCTCTCTGATTTGTTATTCATGATTTGTTCTGTATTTGTAATCGACATATTTCGTTGAACATTCTTCAAATTTCCTGCGTTTTGCTATAAGACAGAAAGTCGGATTTGGTTCTTACCGCCATAATGCAAAAAAAAACAACCGTTGTGGAAAAGTACTCTTACACTTTGTAAATAGTAGAGAGCTTGATAATTAAAAGGCATCATGCCATAACTGCGCAGAAATCAGTGTTTTGTAAAGCTTTTTTACTTTAACAGAAGAAAAAATTTGACAGTCGAAGCACCAGATGCTGTTGAGATAGTAATGCGAATTTTAGGTACAACGAAAGTCTCCCGGAATATATCACAAAAGAAATGCTATCAGAGATAGAGAATGAAGAACCAACAAACATCACAAAAGAAGGCGTTTCTTACGATGATAGTGCTGCTAAATATGGTTTATACCCCCTGAATGACTACTTGAATGTAAGCAATTTGCCCTCTTTTCCAAAGCAGTGAAACAATCTTCAGCTGGTGCGAGCTAGCACACGAAAGTTTGCATGCATCATAGTAAGTGGCCGCTGCAACGGTTATGATACCTCTATCCCGTTGTTGTTCTGTGGTACAGACAAACCGTAAGTTTCACGACTTGTTTTCGTTTTTTGAGTTGTCCCTTCTTCCACAGAGTAATTGCAGCGCTAGCCTTTAGAGCATAACGCCTCATCAAAAGCTAAATAGAGTGCCGAAAAATTATTAAGCGTGAATCGCTAGTCTCTTTTTGCCTAAATAGTTTTGTGGATTTTTAGGCATACTGTAGGGCAGCTTCAACTCGAATATAAGTACAAAAAAAATGGCTCATCGTCTTCCATCGAGAGATTACGGCAGGAACTGTCAGCATAGTAGCTGCTTATTTATGATCTTAACCTTGGCATGTTCAGTAATATGAGGTATGATTGAGTAGTAATATGATTTAGTAGTAACAATTAATATAATCGAACTTGATCAAGCTGAACAGAGGTGGTGAATAAAAACAGGCACAGCTTACGTCTTTCGATTTATCTCCTTCCTCAGAGATGGAAAATGATCTTGTAGTCACCCCGAAAGAAACACAGCGGCTACTGGCGCTCGCTATGCGGAGAATGGTGGTAGAAGTAATGGGCTGAACTTAATGTCTATCGTCTATCTACATTCGAAAGATCTTGATAAGATGTGGATTACATTTAGTAACATTCATCTTTCTTTTCAGCTTAGGGAAATACGAAATTATAGAATTGTTCAAAGGACTTGCGAGCTAATATCTCAGGTTCACGAGCTAAGATGGAAACGCTGACTTCTATAACTGGTTTACGTCGCGGTGCATGAGCTGGGCTTCGAAAGTAGTAAGAATTTTGGGTCTATTCGAACCGTCCAGGTGTTCCTTGACGCAAGAACTTGAAAGTCTTTCTCTATTGTGTAAGTATTCCCGCACTTTATATTTTATCAAGTAAACCACATCAAATATAACACAATCTTCCTCCTTATTGTATGAGCAAACTACACATTTATTAGCTGCGCAAAATTGCATAGGAGAGAATGCGTTCTGAATGCTGTTAGATCAAATGGGAAAACACTACAATCTTTACAGTATCCTGCAACTTGATGATTTATGCTTTTGCAAACCTTCCAGCTCGCTATATCTGATTGTAAGAGGACAAAGAATTTTCATGTCAGAGATAATTGTCTATCAACCTCAATAGGTTTCAGTGGTTTTCTTATGCGATAGTCATTATTATCTCAGACAGTCGAGGGAATACCTCCAGTGGGCAAATGGCGCGAGTCTGCCACTTCGCGCTCTGGAGCGCCTCGGAGCCCTGCCATTTCACGCATTCTGGTGCTCCGGGGCTCTCCCAAATCTGGCACACCTCCGGAGCAGGGATTTGCCCGTCCCGGAGAGGGGTTCCATTCGCCTGCTCGTGACGTCACTGTGACGTCACGGTGAACGAATGGGACTCTTCTCCGGGACGCGCAAATCTCTGCTCCGGAGCAGCGTCACTTTTGGGAGAGCCCCAGAGCACCAAAATGCGTGAAATGGCAGGGCTCCGGAGCGCTCCAGAGCGCGAAGTGGCAGACTCGCGCCGTTTGCCTGCCGGAGGTATCCATTCGACTGTCTGAGATGCTACATCGTCAGCTTCAGAGGCATCCACTAAAATCTCGACTTTTATGTTTTTATCGTTAGGCTTTTCATCGCCCCCAATCTCGGGAGGGGCAAAGAAAGGGAATGCCTCCCAATTACCCCGTTTCAAAGGTTTATCCCGCAAAAGTGAACGAGTTCCGGCGCTCACGCCGTATGCCAGAAAATTCGTCGTATGCAGAACTGCCACATCACACATTATCTAGATATGGGTTTCGAAGTTGCACTCCATGCCAGAACGTGACATGGAGCAACCCGCGGATGGTTGGAGCGCAAAGGAGAGAAACGCAAAAAAGTTTTTCTGATTTTCAGGTCTACTATTTCTCCTTTTGCAGGCAACATTAGTGCCGGTTTAACGTAGTTGGTCCAATTCTGAGGCCTGCTCATAGAATACCCTAATTCTGAGTACAAGTACTTTTTCGATTTTTCAAACGAACCGCTCAGCCGCATTGTTGTGTCTCGGAAGACGAACTAATGCCGCACGATAACTTCAGGCAACACGCACGGTAGGTCCTTTGCTTGCGACATTTTTCGGTGTGTTAGGCTGGTCGAGTCTGGAAAAAATCAGGTGCGTCTTGTGCTTGAAATTAGGGTAATAATCTGCGATGGGTAGACGCTATCTTAAACCTTGCGTTTTTGAGGTAGATGATCCTTTTATTGCTACTTCGTAAGGTTTTGTTCGTAAAAACCTGGACGTTTTTGAGAAAGACCATAAAAACCTTCGTGCCTTACAGATTTGATGTGATAGTTTATAAAATTAGACGTTTCGGTACAGTGCGTTCCTTAGGAGCCTAAAAGTAAGTCATCTTATTTTAAACTTTACTCTGAGACGAATCTCTTCTTCAGACCTAATTATTCTACTCATATATTAGGTTGTCCGGAAATTAATGCCCGTTTTGAATTTCAACCGCTTAAGTAATATACCTCTCACTTCTAAATAGGATGCAGAGTACCACTCGATAGAGTAAAGCAAGCTTTACAAAAAGGCCATCTTGCTTTTGCAATAGCTTTCATCCACCTCGAGTTTCGAGCCAAAAACTAAAAAGACTCAGCAGCCCGAAAAATCGAAAAAATCGTATTTCAGTTCACAAAATCCTATAAAAATTCTTACTTGCTCACGTAAACACTATCCACATAAAACATCTATCTTATATATAAAGCTGAATGTCTGTTTGTCTGTCTGTCTGTCTGTCTGTCTGTATGTCTGTATGTGTGTACGTATGTTCCGAATAGAAAATTCCATTTCGGAACCGATCCGGACCAAACTTGGCACACATACACTACGGGCCCCGGCGGGTGTCATAGGCTACTTTTCGTCATCGATCGATATCGATTTTATCGATTTTTATCGATTTTTTTGCTGAGTTCACCTACGGGGCTGGGAGTTGGCACAGGGGGGTAATCGTGCATGGGGATTCCGAATACAATATTGGTTTTCAGGATTATCGATTACTTTTATCGATTTTATCGATTTTTTTGCAAAGTTTGAGCTACGGGGCTGGGAGTTGGCACAGGGGGGTAATCGAGCATGGGGATTCCGAATACAATATTGGTTTTCAGGATTATCGATTACTTTTATCGATTTTATCGATTTTTTTGCAAAGTTTGAGCTACGGGGCTGGGAGTTCGCACAGGGGGGTAATCGAGCATGGGGATTCCGAATACAATATTGGTTTTCAGGATTATCGATTACTTTTATCGATTTTATCGATTTTTTTGCAAAGTTTGAGCTAGGGGGCTGGGAGTTGGCACAGGGGGGTAATCGAGCATGCTGATCATCCCCAAGGGGGACGATCAGCATGCTCGAACACCCCTGTGCCAAATTCCAGCCCCTTAGCTCAAATTTTCAAAAAATCGATAAAATCGATAAAAGTAATGGACGATCTTGAAAACTAATATTGTATTCGTAATCTGCATGCTCGATTACCCTCTGTGCAAACTCCCAGCCCCGCAGGTCAAACTTTGCAAAAAAATCGATAAAATCGATAAAAGTAATGGACGATCCTGAAAACTAATATTGTGTTCGTGATCAGCATGCTCGATTACCCCCCTGTGCAAAATCCCAGCCTCGCATGTCAAAATTTACAAAAAATCGATAAAATCAATAAAAGCAATCGATAATTCTGAAAACTAATATTGTATTCGGAATCCCCATGCTCACTTCCCCCCTTTGCCAACTCCTAGCCCCGTAGGTGAACTCTGCCAAAAAATCGATAAAAATCGGTAAAATCGACATCGATCGATAACGAAAAGTGGACTGTGACACCCGCCGGGGCCCGAAGTGTATGTGTGCCAAGTTTGGTCCGGATACGGCGGAGCCGGGTAAGCCAGCTAGTATATCTATAAAAATACGCCTTTGCCGTATTTTTTCCTCTGTTAGAAATCAAGAAAACGGAAATTTTCGTGCATTTGTCAAAGTCGTGCTGTGCCGTCCCCACATAGATAGTTAGTTGTATACTACAAGCCTGTAGAAGTACATACGTGAATTCTCAGCTCTCTTTAAGCTTTATTTCTCAAGAAATTTGAATTTTAGCTTGGAACTCAACTAAGGAAAGCTATATTAGGTATTTCTCGAAAACTAAAGTTTGTAGAGAGCTGAAAATTTAAGTCTGTACTTCTACAGGCTTGTGGTATACAACTACCTATGTGGGGACGGCACAGCATCACTTTGGCAAATGCACGAAAATTTCCGTTTTCTTGGTTTCTAACGGAGGGAAAAATACGGCAAAGGCGTTTATAGATGTTTTATGTGAAAAGTGTTTACGTGAGCAAGTAAGAATTTTTGTAAGATTTTTATGAACTGATTTACGATTTTTTTCGATTTTTCGCGTTGCTGAGTCTTTTTAGTTTTTGGATGGATGAGAGCTGTTGCAAAAGCAAGATGGCCTTTTTGTAAAGCTTGCTTTACTCTATCGAGTGGTACTCTGCATCCTATTCAGAAGTGAGGGATGTATTACTTATTGCGGTTGAAATTCAAAACGGGCTCAATTTCCGGACAACCTAATATATTTTTTGAAAGCAAACAACAAACGAGTCCAGTGTACATTCCATAGCTTTTCACATACTAGGCATTTTTACCAAAAATTTCTCACCTCCAGAAAACGATTACGACTAATATCTTTACTCTTTAAAATCCTTTTTTCTTATGAATACGTATGTTTACTTGAAGCGCATGAAAACTAAAGTTGGTCATACCCCTCTTGTCTCAATATCCTTCTACTAAAATCATTCTTGTCCTGTACCACAAGAGACATTCATTTTTTTTCTACTGCTTGTAATGCCTGATACTCTAAACCAGTGCTTCACCTCTGCTTCGCAGAGGCTCGCACTGGCCATCAAGAAACGATGGTAAACTTACGATGTGAAGGCTTTCTTTCAAATTATTGCCAGGTTGACTGCTGTGAGAGAGACCTAATTAAAAATGAACCATACTCGCTATCAGAACCTCACATGCTCCAAAGCATTGTAAATCATTCCGCACTATATTTTCTAACAGAGAGACTTACAGACCGACAAGTAAGCGGGCTTATTATAAGCCATGATATTTTGTTTATATTCTCAATGCGGAAAGACGACTAGACAAACTCTAACTCATTTCTATCCTTGTTCTTGATCCTGCAAGCAATTTTTAGAGAGTTTTCTGAATATCTTTGTAAAATCATCACACATTCTTCCAGGTTCTATCCAGGTTCAGGTTCTACAACTGGTCCATTAAAACTTCCATCATTAG